TGTGGGGGGCTCTCTGGAGGCTCTGGGGGGATCAGGGGCTGGGGGAGCTGGGGAGCTCTCAGGGGGCTCTCGGGGGGCTCTGGGGGCTGGGGGGTTCTCGGGGGCTCTGGGGGAGTTCTGGGGGGCTGGGGCTCTGGGGGGCTCTCGGGGGGGGGGGCGGGGGCTCACCGGAGGGTGTTCTCGATGCTCTCCTCCCGCAGGTATTTCTGGAACATTTCCTTCAGGTCGCCCCAGTAGAGGGGGGGCCCCGGGCCCGGCGATTCCTCAGCCACCCCCTCGTCGCTCACCACGGCCAGCAGGTCGCCCCGTAGCCCCGCGCATGATGGGCAGCTGCCCCGCAGGGCCACGTAGCCCAGCAGGAACGCTGCACGGGGGGAGACGGGTGTGGGCATGTCAGGGGGGCATGGGCACGGGGGAGGGGGCGGGGCTAGCGGGCAGTAGGCGGGGCTGTCTGTGAAGGGGCGGGGCCTGTCAGTCCGGGAGACAGTGCCGTGAGCCCATGGGGCGGGGCCATGAGCCGAGGGGGCGGGGTTTTCAGTCCAGAGGGCGGGGCGCCGGCCCAGAGGGCAGGGCTGTCAGGCCAGGGGGCGGAGCTGTTGGGAAGGCGGCAGAGCACTGGGCCAGGGGGTGGGACAGCTGAGCAGGGGGCGGAGCTCTGAGCCAGAGGCGAGGCTATCTGTCCAGGGGGCAGGACTGTCAGGCAGGGGGCGGGGCTCTGGGGCAGGGGGTGGGGCTGTCGGGCCGCGGGGCGGAGCTTACCCACGGTGAAGATGAGCAGGGCGCTGAGCACCACATAGGTCAGGGCCTTGGTCCGGTCCCGCGGGCCGGGGGTCACCAGGGCGGCCATGTCCCCGGCCAGCGTCTGCTCCTCCCCCTCGGCCACCTTCAGCTCCAGGCCCCCGGCCCCCTCCCCGCCCGGCCCCTCCACGTTCCGGTAGATGGTGTAGGAGCGTCGGCCGGGCCGCTCGCCGCCCTGCGGGAGAGACGGGGGTCACGGCGGGGGGGCTGCGGGTCGGGAGTGAGGGGCACCGGCAGGGCTGGGGGGGCTGCGGGTCGGGAGTGGAGGGTGCCGGGGGGTGTGGACGGTTGGGGAGGATTCGAACCCCGGCCTTACCGCACGGCGGAGCAGGGATCTCAGTGTCTCCATTGCAGCCTCCTCGCGTCCTGGGGAGAGAGGTGGGCCCCGGGGGCCGGTCAGGGAGGAGCCAGGAGGGTTCCCCTTTATCTGCCCCCCTCCAGAACAGCAGGGGCTGTGGGTCGGGAGTGAGGGGCACCGGCAGAGCTGGGGGGTGGCAGGGCTGGGCTAGCAGGGGCTGTGGGTCGGGAGTGAGGGGCACCGGCAGGGCTGGGGGGCAGGGCTGGGTTGGCAGGGGCTGCGGGTCGGGAGTGAGGGGCACCGGCAGAGCTGGGGGGCAGGGCTGGGTTGGCAGGGGCTGCGGGTCGGGAGTGAGGGGCACCGGCAGGGCTGGGGGGCGGGGGGTGGTGGTGGTTACCAAATGTTTGTCTCGGCGGCCCGGGGGCAAAGGCTGCTGGCACGTATTGATTTGCCTGCCTGGCGCCGGGCTGCCGGGGTCACTAAGGGGCAGAGCGGGGGCCGGGCCCCATGGCCAGGGGGCAGAGCCCCTCGGCTGAGCCCCCCCCGCCCCCACACCCAGATCACACAAGCTGAGATATGGGGGGGGGGACTCAGGAGGGCAGAAAGGGGGCTGGGGGGGAGCTTGGGGGTGATTGGGTGGGGAGGGCACCTGGAATTGGGGGGGGGGGAATCCACAACCTCTGTCCCCCCAGGGGAGCGCAGGGGGAGGGGAAGCTGGACCAGAAGGTCCCAGGCCCTGGCTGCTGGCTCGGAGGCCCCGGGGCTGGGATGGGCCAGAGTCTGGCTGGGGTGATAAGGGTGGGGCTGGGAGCTGATAGCGAGTCCCCCAGAGTCACGTACACACCGGCCCCCCCC